GCATATCCTCGGCTGTTGATCCACCAGGGCCCACCAATCCTCCTGCTCTCCTCTGCCCCTGCCCCGCTTGACGCGCATCTGCCCCTTCGCCTTGAGGAATATTCGGGCCATTGGCGGGGCCCTGGGAAGGAGACCGTCCCGGTAGGAAGGGCGAACAAGGGAGACCCTTCCATACCACGATCGACACCGGAGGGAACCGCGGCCCGGGGCCTTCTCCCGACAAATGATGGGGGGCTGCTGGAAGCACCCCGGGCCCCGGGGAACGAAAGATCGAGCCCGGCCGCCCTGTCTCCTGCGCCGGAGCCACTGGGCAGGTGTGGCAGGCACGCACGCCCGGGGGTGCAGTCTCTCCGAGTAGCGCCTTCGAGAGGCCTCCTCCAGGGTGGGGCCGGCAAAGGGTCCCCCATCACCAGGCCCCGCACGCCGGTGCCTCGCACAATGGGCCCCGGGGTGCCGCTGGGGCCGGCTGGCCTCGCCCTTCGAGTGCCCCGGACTGAAACATCGCCAGCCGAAAGGGGAACGCGGCACACCTCTCTGGGAAAATGGGCCCAAACAAACACTCGGCCCCCCGGAAAGAGCCAGGTTGTACACTGAACCGCGCCCGGGCCCGGCCCCACCCCCACTCCAAGCAGACTCAAGAGTGTCGACCGAGAGTGATGGCCGTCACCCCTGGAAGGACGCCCGCCACCTCGGCCAGGAGATCCCTCTCCTCGGGCTCGTCTGCAACGGGGACGCAGGGACCCGCTCGTGTTGGGCCGGCACGCCCTCTCTTTGAGCGAAGACGCCCCGGGCGGTCCACACCTCCCCAATGGCACCCAGAAAGTGTGGAAGAGAAGGGGGCAGAGCTGTTTGGAATTGTGCGGACGATCACGCCGGTGTCAGGCGGATCATATTTGAGATGTGTCCTCATTAAAAATGTCATAATAAAAGTCTTTTCTTCCGAAAATCGTAGCCCCTGTGGTGAGCTCAGTGGCTGGCCGAATGCGCTGCCTGTGCCTCCACCGGGGGTGGGACGGCCCTTTCCTCTTTCCCCGCCCATGGTCCCTGCCCCTTCCCCCCCCCCCCCGGTGTTCTGTTGTCTGCGGGTTCTCAGGGGGCGGCCTTCACGCCCGCCGGCTTTTTGGGCGAGCTTCACGCAGTGACTTCCTCGCCACCTCCGGCCGTGTTGGAACATTTGTCTGCGACGATAGTGGTCAGCTCGGTGTAGGTGGCGAGCGGGGTCGCCCCCGCCCGTTCCGGGTGTCGACCCCATCCGGTATGAACTCGATGCCAGCGGCTGGGGGGTGGTGGCAAGAGGGTGTGTGCGGGAGGGGGGGGGGCGAGCGTTCTGCCCCCTCCCCCGGCCCCCGGTGTAGGAGTGTGGGCCTTGGTGCGTGCGGGCTTGACCGAGGGGCTGTAGCTGACGGGGGCGGCTGGCTGGTGGCTCTCGGATTGAGGCCCAGAGGGCCTCCACCTGTGGCACCGAGGGGTGGGGGAGTCGGTGCCGGCGTGCTGTCTCTGGCCGTGGGGGGGGGGGGTCGGGGATATGGGATAACCAACCAACGGTCATCTTGGGAGGCTTGCTGGGAGGTATGCCGTGACAGGGCGCATCACCGGGGGCCCTGCGGCTTCCCACGGCTGGCTATTGTGCGTGCGGACCGCGAGCTGCGCAGCTCGGGGGGGAGGAAGTTCCCTCTGTCAGAGGTGTCCTCCCGGCGCGATCCTCTCGATCAGTTGCCCCCTTCTCCCGGCACAAGGGTGACGGGCGAGGTCCGGGGGGGGGGGGACGCAGTGTGAACGTGTGGCCGGGACGCGATCCCTCTGGCTCCCCCCCCCCCCCGCCCCTCCTTCCTGCGAGAACGGGGCACCGAGCGGGGACCGGCCGAAAGATCCCCCCCCATCTGCCCCTGGCGGCGGGGAGGGGGAGCCGAGAAAGCTGTAAGTGTGTGTGTGTGTGTCTGTGGTCCCCCCGGGCGGGGCGACGGGCGCCGGACAAGTTCCCCGACGCCCCGGCCCGGAGGGACTCCGTCTGGGTGTGGTCGTGGGCGCCTATAAGTGGATATAGCCCACCGCCACCCACGCCGCAGTGGTCTCTCTCACACATTCTTAATACTTTCAGTCTCTGTCTGTACTTTGTGGGTAGTAAGAATGGTTCGTCGTTTTTTCCTCCTCTCCTCTGGCTCTTTCTCTCGCTCTCCTGCCCTCTCCTCCCCCTGTTTCCCTTGCATTTGCGCCTTCTTCCCTCGCCCCATCTCGCCCACCCTCCCCTCCCCTCTCTCTCTCTCTCTCTCGATGGCTCTCTTGGAGTTGGACAGACAGTTGTGCCCGTGCTCGGAGATTGTGTCCATGTGCGCGCCTGTCCGCGCGCACCTGCGCATACATGTCGACTGGCTGGCCAGGCGCTCGCATGCGTCCCCTCTCTCAGGGGCGCGGCTCGCCCAGTCGTCGATGCGCGGCGCATATGTGCACGACAGGGCGGACCCATGTCTCCCTTTTCTGCTTGTGCCCGCGGTCTCCGTGCCTCCCCCTCCGGCCCCACTGATGTCGCGCACCACATTGGAGGCGACATACTGTTGTCGTCCTGCCTCCGTTGTGGGGGCGCACACCGCTGGTTGCCGTCTGTCTCCGATTTCCCACTTCCAACCGAGTCGTCTACCCCACCGGATGCATCTTTTTGGAGTTGCATCCGACGGCCCTCCGTTTCTCCTTCCTCTTTCTCTCTCTCTCTCTCTCTCTCGCCCATCCACCAGCACGTGGCCTCTCTCCTCGTGCCGGCCGTGCCAATGTTCCCCTCCCACTAACGACCCGCTCTTCTCGCTCCTCCCCCTGCCCGCATCTACGATAGGCCAAGCAAATCAAGACCAAGCAGCAGAAGGCCGCTGCCGCCGCCTCTCAGTCCCGCTCCAAGAAGAAGAAGTGGTCCAAGGGTAAGGTCAAGGACAAGGCTGACAACGTTGTCATCCTCTCCCCCGAGACCATCGACCGCATCAACAAGGAGATGACCACCGCCAAGGTTATCACCCCCTCCATCCTTGTTGAGCGCTACAAGATCAACTGCTCCGTTGCTCGCAGCGTCCTCAAGGTGCGCCCCAGTTTCGGCTCTCTCTCTCTCATGCGCCTTGGTTTGCCGCCGTGTCTCCCCCGCACTTGCGCGCGTGCGCGCGCATCGTCCGGGGCGTGACATCGCGCATTCCCAGGCGCCAGTCCGCTTCCCTTGTCTCCTTTCATTTGCGATTTTGACCGCCCGCATGCCGTGTTTCCCCTCCTAACATCCCCTCTCCTCCGCTGGCACATGTGGCCCCTTCCTCCTTTCCCCTTTCGCGCGCGTGTAGGGCATGCACACCGAGGGCAAGATCCGCCTCGTCGTTTCTCACAACGCTCAGACCATCTACACTCGCGCCATCGCCACCGCCGACGATGCTGCCGATGTTGTTGAGGACACCTCCTCCAAGGGCCGTCGCCGCAAGTAAATGCGCCGTTGCTGCCTTGTGGTCCCTGCCTCTCTAGGTTGGGAGATGTGATTTTGGCGGGCGCCAGGGGTGTGTTCCCCTGGTGTGTGATGTGCGAGCAAGGGAGAGAGTCCGGCATTGCGCGCGTGTGCCCGTGCACAACGTGTTCCCCCCCCCCGCGTGCGCGCAAACTCTCGACGGCCTCTCTTTCTTCGTATTTCTTCCCCTCCATCTCTCCTTCACTCTCTCTCTCGCTCGTGTGTGCCCGTGTATGCCTCCCCGTGCATTCCGCGGTACCCCGGGGCCTGGTTCGGCGCTCAAAGTGATACACATTGCCTCTCCAGTGTTTAGTTGCCCCTCGTTCCATCGCTGCTTTTGTGAATGTAGAAGTTCTTCCACACGTTGTGCCGCCCCCCTCCCCCCCCCTCCCCCTCGTGTGTTCCTCTTTGTCTCTCCTTCTCTGTCTCTCTCTGTTCATCGAAGGGGGATGCACGCATGGCGGCCTCTCTCTCTCTCTCTCTCTCTCTCTCTCTCTCTCTCTCTTTGTTTCCACGCCATCCTCCGGCATGGGGCGGTGTGTGTGTGTGTGTGTATGGCCTTTTTCTCCACGCGCGCAGTGGAAACGGAGGGGGTGAAGAGAATTGCTGGGGCCGAGAGCGAGTGCATTTTGCCTGTGTCTGCTATTTTGCTGCCCCCTCTCGGGCTGGCCTTCCTCTCTGGAGGTGCCGCGCCGCGCGCCAGCTTGTCTCGGGGGCCATGTGCGCGCGGCTTGGGACGGGAGGGGGGGGGCAGCTCTTGCATATCCGCACATCGTGCGCCCTGGCCCGGCGAGGAGAGGGAGCTCGGGCCCGGGGCCGGTCTGTGTGTCAGAGGCCTGGTCTTGTCATGGTGCACGGCTGTGTCTTCCCTGCCCCTCAGGCCGCAAGGCGGGAGACGCTGGCCGACATGCTACAACTCAAGAAACTCGTCAGCAAACACACGTGATCAAATAGTCTATTCTTTGCTCGCTGTCTGCAGCTCCCTCACGTGCGCGCCATAGCTCGTTGCCTCGGCTGGTGTGTGCGAGCGCGGCTGTTGGCGGAGAATGGACGCCCTGATCGCCATTCAGACTGGGGCACCGGGGGAGGGGGGGGGGGAGGGGGGACCGAGGGCACGCGGCGCCAAGGCCAGGCGCCATCTACACTGCCCTACCGCAGCCCAGCAGCCGCCGTTCCCATGGACGTGCCGACACGAACAAGAGTCTCGATCGGGCGCTGACTGTTGCGCTCGAGGTCGGAATCTGGCGTGAAGCGCCCGGGCTCAAAGAGGCAGACCACTGTGCTGCCACCGAATGCAAAGTAGCCGATTTCATCAAATCGGCGGATTTCCTCACCTACCCGGTGGGGCCCGGTGAAGACGATCGACCCGACCATCATGGCGCCCACAATGACATAAGCCACCAGGCCGAATTCCGGCGAGTCAATAACAAGCACCTGGTAGGGGGAGGAGAGGGGGAGAGAGAGAGGGAGAGTGGAGAGAGTGGAGAGAGTGGAGAGAGTGGAGACAGTGGAGAGAGTGGAGAGAGTGGAGAGAGTGGGGAGAGAGGAAAGAGGGGCGACACATCGGTTAGCACGAGCTGATGCACGGGATGTGGGGCAAGTCGGCAGAGAGGAGCAAGTGTCAGGACATACCACACGCTTGTTGTCCGTCAGCACGTCGATCTCCGTGCCTCGGATGGCCATCGGATTGACCGAATACAGGGCCCCCGGCACGTCGATGCACGCAACCACCCGGCCGGCCACTGGCGAGTGGAACCGGTGATAGTCTTGCGGTGCCAGACGACACAGGGCCAGGGCTCCATGATGGAAGCGGCTGGCATCCAGGCTGAGCCCGCCCGGGGCCAAGTCCAGCCGGAGGAGGGCCTCCAAACTGAAGTTCCGCCCTTTGATCCAGAGTCGCGTGGCATCGTTCACCGTTCGGAAGAGCGTCAAGCGGCAATCCGCCGGGACCAGGCAAATGCGCTCATCACCGGGACTGGCCATAGGCCGGGCCCCGGGCCGAAGAGGCCGGAAGAAGAACTCATTGAAGGTCTGATAGCCATAGTGCTGATCCGGCCGGCCGGGAGCCGGCGCCTCGAAGTCTTCCATGTTGATTTGATGGAAGTCCACAAAGCCCGCGATGTACTGGGCACTGCGTGGGTCGTTGTACTTACGCCCCTGGCGGATGCTCAGCCGGAGGAAGAGATTCCGGATGGTGGCCGACTCCAGGCTTCGGCGAAGGAGCTGGTTTTGGTTGTAGAGGGCCCGAATGGACAGCCGCACCGCCGAGGGGATGGTCTCCACCATGGCCAGCCCAGTGGCTCGATCCACGACACTGATGGAGCCTGATCGATGGAGCAAATCCAGCAACGCCCGAGGGGCAAGGTGCGACCGCGACTCGGGGTTAGTCAGGGTCGCGGCTGCCAGAGCCAGGGCCACAGCGGCCAGGTGCTGCGGGGGTCCGAGTGCCAGCAGGCTGATCGTGGCCAGCAGGGCGCATGCCACCGCCGCGGGGAGCCATAGCTCCCTGTGGGCGACAAATGCCGGCCATGCGGCGCTCAGTGGGCCGACTGTCCGCCTCCCCCCCCAGGAAAATGAGACCGGGTGTCAGGTCACACACACACACACACACACACACACATATGCAGACACATATCTGCGCATGCATACAAGTCACACAGGAGAACACTGACACCAGGAGAGAGGGGGGCAATATTTGACTTGGCACAGGGGGGATGCGTACTCTTTAGATCCCCTGCGCGATGTGGCCGGCGAAGGATTCGCGCGATGCGACCTCGCCGCGCCTGTGCCTCTGAAAAGAAGGCCCCAACAATGAATGGGTTCTCGGAATACGCGTGGGTCATCTCCTCGGGCAGGGAGAGCACCATATCAGCGCCAGCCTCGCCCAGGGCACGGTCCAACTCGGCCAGGTACTCCGTCGAAGCGGCTACCGGATAGGCAGCCGCGGGATCATCCGGGAGGGAGTCAGACTGAAAAAGGGCGTGGTAGGGGGGGGGAGACGATGAGCGCACATGGCAAGAGCCGCCCGAGGACAAGGACAGTGTGCTGGTACCAGTCCCATTTGCGGGCGCATCTCCTGACAGCAGCCCGAGAACCCTCTGGCTCGGTGCATGTAGGAGCGTATACGTCAAGCTATGTACCAGCAGGTAGCGCTTGGCCAGTGGGCCGGCCGTTTCGAGGTTCTCGAAGGCCGAGCAAACATGCATTGTCCACTGGTCGAGCAGGGTGGCCAAACGGTCCAGAGGTACGTCTACGCCTGGCTTTGTCAGTACCTGGGTGAAGAGACATGGGCCTATTGTGGTCTTTGCGGCGGACTGGCGCACCCTCAAGACATTGGCCACCGAGAGCCGCGTCAGCGTGCGCGAAGAAGGACTCTTGGATAGCACGCCAGGAAAGCAGCCGGCCAGCGATCGTCAAGGTGAAGGTCGCTTCGCTGGAACCGGTCGGGGACTGGGCAGACGGGCGTTTTTGGAGAGGGCCAACACGGAGCATGAAGCGACGCATGGTCAGCGAGGGAGGGCAAAAGAGCAGCACCAGCGGTATTTGTATAGCAGCAGCAGCAGCATCAGCAACATCAGCGCTAACAACAGACAGGCATACCATGATGCAGGGAATGGAGAACTGTTGGCGGTCGTCCCGTCGGAGGAGGGCCACATCCACATACCCCTCGCCAATGAGCTCGTTGCTGCTGGCCAGGCGCCGATGGCGATAGAGGGAGATCTTCAGCGGGTACTGGGTCTCATACGACCTCACAAGGAGAAAGGCCAATAGGTTGCCCTCCGGAAGCGGCGAGCGACCGTCGCGAAATACCTGATGCCGAGGGCAGTCGCAAATGCGTGTATGTGCGTGTGCGCTCATGTGTAAATATAGCAGCCATATGGACATCTGGCAAAGCTCTGGCCGAGGGTGACCATGGCGAAGCATGAATACCGAGGCAATAGGCGATGCGTACACTTGTCCGGAAGGTTGACATGCCGAAGGAAAACACCGCAAAGTGCCCAGCCGGCAAGGGGGCCTCAACCACATCGAGCGAGGTAATGCTCAGCAGCTCGAGCGGCGGCTGGCACAGGTCGGCCGAACACTGGCCCCCGACGACGCAGCTCACCGGCGGACTGTGTACGTCCGCCAGGCAGTCATGCCCGCAGGGGAGGATCGCCGGACGCTCGAGCAAGTGAGAGGTGCTCATGGCGGCCGGGGTGTTGCCACACTCCATGTCCTGAAGCAAAAGCCCGGAAAGCTCGGCGTCCGAGCCATCCCGAGGCAGAGTCAAGCGGTCAAGCGCCGCATGGCCATCATGGACGTGAGTGCCCATGGAAGTGATGAAGCCTGTGGGCCGCGAGCGGGGGCGTGTAATGAAGGGCAGGTGGATTGGCGGGGAGCAGAGGAGGAGGAACGGGGGACGAAGGGGTGTGTGTGTGTGTGTGTGTGTGTGTGTGTGCGTGTGTGTGGAGGGGGAGGAGGCAAGGAGGAGTGGGAGTGATGTTCTCTTGGATGTTTGTCCCGGCTGCAGGGGTGTCGTATGCATCCTCTTCGTGCGACATCTGGGACGGGGGTGCTATGCCAGATCGCCGGCGTGCTGAGTGTGCCGCCTCCCGGCCCCCCCCCTCCCCCCCGGCATGCACACACATATGCACACATTTTTGCCACTTCAATCGTAGGCCATCTGTGCCGGGGCCACCGGGTCTCCGCCCCTGTCCATGCCTTCATTCCTTTTCGCCGGCGGGGCCTTGGGCAGTTCCTTTTTTTTTTTGGGGCTGTGGCTGTTCGTCGGGCGACAGGGTGCCTTCTTGCCCGTGGTCGGTGCTCATTTTTTCGCCCAACCGCGCAGGCACCCGCAACCCGGGCCTGTTCACCGGGCACGGTGGCCTTGGAGCCGCACCCTCCACGCGCGCACGGCTGTTGGGTAGAGGTGTGTGTCTGCTCCTTCTTCGCCAGCGGCCTGGCCGTTCCTTTTGTCGCTGCTCCCGCGACATCGCGACTCGGCGATCTTCCGCGCCGGGCCACGCAAGCCCGGCGCCCCCGGAGAGCGGCGAACGAGGAGTGCGCCATCACAGCACGGCAGCGAGGATGGATGCCGGCATACGGAAGGACAAAGATCTTCCGGGTAAACAACCTACTGCCAATGGTCCCACATTCCCACAATGCAGGGGGGGGGGAGGGGCCGAGCGTCCCCTCTCTCGGTTGCTTGGCCCACCCGGGGCGGTCTTTCCTCGTGCTGCCTGTTGGGTCCTTTCCCTGGGCCAGGCCGTCGTCACCAAGACGAATGGAAAAAGGGCGACCCGGGTGCCCGGCACAAAAGACAGAGGAACAGGGCCCCAGGGGCCTGGATTTTCAACCCCCCAAGGGGAACCTCATGCGGTTGGTGTCTCCTCGTCCGGGCTTGCAGCCCGGACGACCACACCCAGCCTCCCCCGCTTCCCGGTCCCCAAAATGCCTGCAAACATGTTCTTGCCCTGTGCTGCCGCACGTTCGCAGGGCTGGCCCTTCTCAGGCACGAAAGGGTGGTGCTAATGACGATGAGAGGGGACCGCCCCTGCCTGAAAAGGGGCCTGGTGCGCCCGTTGGGATTTGGGTTGACAACCGCGAGAGATCACGCACAAGATGGGCACATCACGCACACAGTCACGCGGGCATTCGTATAAGTTCCGATCCGGGTATTTTTGGTCCTTGGCGTTGGTGTCCGGGTGGATGCCCTGGTTGGGGCCTCTCCTGTGGGTGAGGACGCATGTTGGACATCTCGTCTTCCTGCTGTTACTTCGGGGGGGGGGGGGGGGTCTTCCCCTCTTCGGCCTGGCCATTTTTGTGTCCAGCCGGCGAGTAGGAGGGAGATGAGAGAGAGAGAGCTTGAAAGCGGGTCTACCTCTCTCCTGGCTCTGGGCAAGTAGCTCTACCCTCGTTTCACGCTTGGGCTGCCGATCCAAGGTGTGGGGAGGGGGACTGGCTCTGTGTTTGGATACAGCAGGCAGGGTTATGTGCCGCATGTTTCCTGTCCTGTGGAAAGGGGCCCCCGGGAGAGGGCGAGGGCAAGCGATGGTGGTGACATCCATGAGGATCGGCTGTGGTGGGGCGCTCCTACCCCTCTCTGTGGACGAGGGAGTTTTTGTAGCCCCCAGGGGTTCCGCGCTGGGGCGGATCTCCTCTTTCTGGCTCGGCCTGCCTGTTTCTTGGCTCGTGGGTGGCTGTGCCCCGCTCCTCGCCCCCTCCTTTGCCTCGTCGGCCAGTTGGCTGATGCCCTTCCCGGATATGTGCCTCCCGGGAAACCGGAGGAGTAGCCCCCCGTGGAGGGGAGGCTCTACACAGGGCACAGACCCTGGGGCTGGGGCGGCCAGACCTGGGAAGGACAAATATGGGTGCGCGTCTCGCTCATCTCTTTGGCCGCCTCCCCCTGTCCGGGTGCTCTTGGCATCTCAGCAGCTGGTTGTACTGTTGCCAGCGCCTACCGTGGGAGGTTTGCCCTGTGGGATTGCATCGAGCCAGAGCCCTCTACCGCACGAGGTGCATCTTCCTATGTGTCTGCCATTAGTTCTATTTTCCACGCTCGGGCGCGTGGACGAGTGGCAGTTATTTCCACGCGATCGCATCCATTGGACACGCTGGCACATACACACACACACACACACACACACACACACACACACACACACACACACACACACACACACACACACACACACGAAAAATAAGGACACTCCGCTGCGCATGGGAGAGGGGCGCATTCTGACATCCCCCCTCCCATCCAGCCAGTCTTGGCCGCACAACACCACGAGGAATTCCGTGGCCCGGACCCGTGGCACGCTCAAAGGCCGAAACTCCCTCGATCTACCTTTTGGTCTGGGAATCTTCGAAATGCCTCCCAAGGGACTTCGGATGAATTGATCTCCTCTGCACCGGGGGGCGGGAGGGGGGGGGGGGGGTCGTGTTAATTTTCCCTCGAGATCCTTGGGCCAGTTTTGAGGAGGATTTCGCCGATCCTTCATACCAGCCAGACCAATGACTATCGCGTACAAAGATGAAGCCCCCTGGGGCCGCGAGGCGAAGGACCGACGGCAGGCTGGGAGGACCTGGGAGGTGTTGAAGCTCCAAGCCTGGAGCTGCCGGCTCACCGAGAGTAACGAGGGGGACCTCGTCGCTCGTTGGGAGGGGCCAGACGCATGCCCCCGCTTTTGACATGTTTGATTGCCTGCTCTTCACGGCCCCTCCACATCGACGCCACGCCCAGCGCTTGGCTTCTCATGCCCTGACGAATGACCCACTTGGGGTCCCATACGCCTCCCCATGCTCGTGCTTTGAGCGAGGGGGGAGGGGCGATTGTTCGCGCAGGAATTCTTAGTCGCCCCTGGCTCCTGGTAGGAGGAGATGGGGACTAGGCGGGGGGGGGGGGGGGGGGGGCCCCCCCGTCCCGCCCCCCGGGCACGCCCCCAAGGGGCGGGGCGGGGGGGGGCGGGGGTGGGGGGGGGGGGGGGGGGGGGGGGGGGGGGCGTGGGAGGGTCAGGAAAAGTGGCCAGAAAAAGGTGGCACAGGCCTCGGCTGCGGGGGTGAGCGCCAAGGAAAAGGCAATATTTTATTGGGAAAAAAAATAAATCCCACCGCAGCCTCCCCAGAGTGCACAACACGCCCACAACATACAATCATCAAAAAGCGCAGGGCGGGCGCACCGCCCGCGGCTGCCGCGCGCGGCCGAGAAGAACCCCGACGACCGCCGGCCCCGGGCCGGCGCCCCCTACAGCGCGCCCGGCAGAAGTGGCTGACCCCGGGGCCGGGGCCGGGGGGGGGGGGGGGCCGCCTCCTTGTAGCCTCTGCGTGTGCGCCACCGCCAAATACGATAAACCCCACCAGTGGATGATAGCCGTGTTTGGTTTCACAGCATGGCATCGGCCAGGGCGCACACCCGCCATTTCCCCGAGCCGCACGCCGGGTGCTGTTGTCACACTTGCTTGAAGAGCGTGCCGCGAGAGCAGCCAAGTTTGCTTCGGCTGCTCGGCGAGACCCTTGTCCGCACGCCGGCAGCCCTGGCTGTCATGCTATCTGCCTTGGCCGGTGGTTTGCATGTATGCCCGGGAGCTGAGGACACTCAAAGTATGTGCCCTCAGGGGGGGGAGGGGGGGAGGGGGGTAGATGTCCAAGGCAGCTAGAGGCCTTGATTAATGCGGGCTCCATCGGTTTGGGCGTTGTGGGTGGTCTTATCCCGGGACACTGGGCCTGCTCGGCTGCTGCTGCTGCTGCTGCTGCTGCTGCTGCTGCTGCTGCTGGTGGTGGTGGTCCGCTCCCCGTGCGGCTTTCGCCCCCTTCTGACGACCTCCCCCGCGTATGGCTCCAGGCGGCTCCTCCTGGCCCCCCTTCCCACGATATAGGCTCGGCGATCTCGCCGACATGTGCCCTCAGCAGTACGTCTCCATCCAATACGGGCCGGCCAAACACCGGCCCAGAACCGGCGGCCGGAGTTCTGGGAGCCGCGGGTAATTTCACCCACAACCTGCGGTGCTCGGGCTGCCCGTCCCCCCCCCCCCCCGGCCTCGTTGCCTCCTCTCTTCCGTGGTCCGATTCTGTGTGGGGTACCAGATGTTGGCTGATGTCCAACCAGCCGGCACAATTGCGGCTCCCTGGGCAGACCCATCATAAGCATCCTCCCTGGCGCGTGCCCCATTCTTTGGCTCTTCGGTGGCTTGTCTCTGGCGGGGCCGATCCGCCCCCTACCATGGAGCCCCCCCAAGGTGCGGTCTCCCCCTTGGCAGTCAGGACAAACGAGGTGGTGTGGTTGCGCACAGCCCCGCCCCCGGGGCCCGGCCGTGGCGGTCGGCTCACGCCCACCTCCCCCGGGCCTCACCCGGCGAGCCCCTCTGGGCAAAGCGGCTGGCGCGTCCCCCCCCCCCCCGCCCCCCCCGGGCCGGCTTCATCTCAGTCAGATCTTACTCCGGGCCAGGGGAAAGCACCCGCGCGCCAGTGTCCCAATCAAGGCGCCCCTCTTTGAATATGCTGGTGCGCGGGTCACACACGCCCAGGAGGCTGGCTGTGGTCTGCCGGCATGGCCTCGGCAGGTACCAGACGGCCACCCCGTCAAGGTGTGCCGCCACGATCTTCCAACGTTGGCCATTGTGCCATCCTCTTGAGGTGGCAGCCCTGCCCCGAGAAAAGCGCGACAGCGCCCGGGCAGACCCCTTCCTCCTCCCTCCCCCCGCCTCGCCCCCTCCCCACCCTACCCCCCTCCTGCATCTCTTCCTGCCCTTTGGTTGCCACTAGCGGTGCCAGTCTCTGCGTCCTGCTTACCGCTCTCTCACCGGGATCTTCGCCTGCCACCCTGCCACCCCGAGCCTTCTTGCATTTCAGCATTCCCTCTGGCGATCCTGTACGTAACTCCCGGGGCCCCGGTGCCCATTGCCCACCAAGACTTCCTTCGACAGATCACCGGACGCCTCCTCCCGGCGCCCGGTCTCCTTTGTAGAAGGCCCGCTCTGGCATGTCCTGCCTCTTGCGCGCGCGCGCGCGCGCCCTCTTCCTCGCTATCTATCTATCTATCTATCTATCTATCTATCTATCTATCTCTCTCTCTCTCTCTCTCTCTCGTTCTCTCTCTCTCTCTCTCTCTCGCGCGCGCGCTCTCTCTCTCTCTCTCGTTCTATCGCTCGCTGGCTCTTTGTCTCCTTTAATTTCTCACTGCCAGTCAGTCTGACCTTCATCCTCGGCTGCCCTTCTGCTTGCCCACCGCTTAGCAGTCCCACAATGAAGGCACCCCCCTCTGCTCCCGCCCCCTCGTCGGGCACGTCCTCTGGATGGCTTGTGGGCTCGCGCTCTACCAAGTATGAGGAGCTCGCCCATGACTCGACGGTAGGCCCGACCGGTCCCAAGGGGCCCACCCAGCCCACTCCTCACTCGCGGATCCTGGCCTTTCGCCGAGAGCTGGCCCGCATCCTGGGCGACTTCCTGGTGGCAATCGTCGTCCTGGCCGGAGTGCATGTGGCTCTCAGCCGGTCAGAGGTGTCGGCCACCCTTCCCGTGGATCAGTCTCCGGCCTGGACCGTGGGACTCGGGGGGGCCGCGGTCGGCCTTTTGGGGGCTGCCAGTCTGGCTGGCTGCTTGCATCTTACATCTTACGAGAAGATGCTCTACTTCGTCAAGAAGGCCTCCACCATTGTCTCCTTCTTCCTGACCATGAGCTACTTCATCTACTTCATGTCCACCGTGCGCGAGCTGTCCCTTTTGGCGCGGACTTTCTGCCATGGGTTCCAAATTGCCACGGCCATCATCTCGCACATCCGCCTGCAGGATATGCCCGATCTGGGACTGGTTCCCATGACCGGACGCGGGGTAGTCGACGAGGATTCCGAGGACCGCTTCCCCAGCGCCTGCTCCTATGATCAGGAATTCTCCGAGGAGTACCTGCGCACCATTTTCCACAAGCGCCGCCCGCGGCCCACGCCCAACATCGAGCGGCTGCTGAACATCTAGGCCAAACGGAGGCGTGGGCATGTATGTGCTTGGCAGGCGCCCGTATGCATGCACGTGCGTGATCATAGCCACAACCAGTAGTGTACACACACACATACACATCTGCCTGTGCTTGTGTGGGGCCTTGAGCATGCTAGGTGCGATCAGGGGGAAAGGAACCCCCCCCCCCCCCCCCGAAGAAGATCGAGGGCATGTGAGTCAGCTCGACCTCCAAAAAAAGAAGAAAAAAGAACAAGCGAGGACAGGCGTGTGCGCCCCCTTTGCATCCTCCCTGTTTGGTGCCCCCCCCCCCCCCCCCCCCCCCGGCCTAGCCGGCCTATCGCGGGGAGGCGCTTTCCTGGAAAAGCCCGGTGGTTTGTGCCTTTCGCGCTCTCCCTGCCCGCCCCCACCCTCTTCCCGTTTTGCCAGCACATAGCGACTTTCATTCGCTGGCCTTTTGCTGTACAGCCTGTGGGCGCTACCTAGTGACATCGGAAAGGGGGATCGGAGGAAGAAAAAAGGGAGCGGGGGGACGATGTCCACGACCCGCACCATCACCTGAGTTCATCTGCCCGCCCTCTTCTCGCGTTCTCTTCATCTATCTCTCGCTCGCTCTCTGTCCTGCTCTCCGGCATCACCGCTTTTCGTGGTCGTGCAAGCTCACCAATGGGCATGACCACGATCTGCCCTGGCCACTCTTTCCGTCCCCGGCACCCGGTCTGCTCCTCACAATAGAAACACACTGGCTTTGCTGAACGCGATGATATGGTATCTCGGTGTCTTTGTGGGGAAAAGGAAGTGGCAGGCACTTTTGGGGATAGCGGCGTTCAAGGGGGGAGGAGCCACGCCTCAAGACAGGTGTGGGAACATGTGCACGCATGGGCTCGTGTGCGTCTCTGTGTGTCTGTGTGTGTGAGAGAGAGAGAGAGGCGGATATAGCCATATGTGAGGAATATGGAAATAAGAAGAGACAAGGAAAGAGAGAGAGAGAGAGAGAGAGGAAGGAGAGAGAGCTGGTGAGCTATTTCAAGGATGTGTGAGGATTTATTATTCTACCGAGAGGCTAAAAAAAGAGGGGAGAGAGAGGGGATGTGGGGGATGGTGTGGAGGAAAGAGGAAGGAGACTGTGTCCCGGGAGAGACAACCGGAAGAGAAATGCCAAATGCCCATCCTATGTCGACCCTTCGCCCTGCGCCTCCTTCTGTCTCGCACACTCTCACTCTCTCTCTCTCTCTTTTTTTCTCTCTCCCTCTCTCTTTCTGCCAGCCACCAAGAGGGTACATGCAGAGGGAGAGCGGAGGTGGGAGGAGGCGGGGCGGGGGCGGATCGGAGGGGCGACACCATGCAGTGCAGGGATGGCACATGCAGGGCTAGGACCGCGGCGTGCCAGCACTGTTGACAGTGCTGCCAGCAGTGGCCGACACGACCGAAGCCGAGGCTGAGGCTGAGGCCGAGGCCGAGGCCGAGGCCGAGGCGGAAGTAACTCCAGCCGAGGTGCTACTGGAGGAGAAGGACAGAGAGGCGGTCGAGGCCGAAGTTGAGGAAAGGGACGGCGAGGAGGCCGAAGCCCCGGCATTCCCGCCACCGGCCGTCGACGCAGACATGGCCGTCAACAGGAAGGAGGCCGATGAGGCGGCCGGCGAGGAGGACAGTGAGTGCGATGCGGTGACATTACCGACAGTAGGACGGATGTACGAGACATTGTTCGAGCTCCCTCCGGCATTCAGCGACGACAAGGAGGAGGCCGACATGGCGGTCGACGGCCGGCGCGAGGCCCCAGGCGACGGGGACCCCGGGGGCGAGGTCGACCGAAGGCCGACCACCCGTCCACCAGCCATGTCCAGCGAAGACCCGGGAGGGTGGGATATGGATGCCGACCGGGAAAGGGTATGGCGCATGGTGCCGCCACCACCACCACCACCACCACCGGCCAGCGGCGACGGGGCGTGTATCCCTGCCCCGCCGGCTGCCACATAGTGCGGCTGCAGGTGCAGCTGGCCCACCGAGGAGTCGGGCGAAGCCCGGATATTTGAAGGAGGGGAGCGGTGCTGGAACTGCTGCTGGAGAAGAAGCTGCTGCTGCTGCAGTGAGAGAGCCGTCGGAGTCGATGCACCGGAGGAGGCCCCGGAGCTGGTGCCTGGCCCGGCCATGCTGCTGGCCATGTGGTGGTGATGGTGGTGCGATCCGCCGGCCGACAGGAGGCTCGAGGGCTGGAAGGCCCGAGGAGTCGGCACCGGCGAGAGGAGGGTAGGCCGTGAGGTGTTAATGGACGACTCGGATGCCCGCCGGGGGGGGCGCAGCACCGGCGGCGGAGTGGTAGATGAGCCAGCACCGGAGCCCGAGAGGCCCGGCCCCCCGGCAGCGACCGTGCCAGAGAACGACGCCGACGAGGGAGATGCCATGCGCAGGGGAGACACATGCTGGTTCAGGGGCGAAATTCGAGGCGGACAAGGGGAAGAGCTACTTACGGAGCCAGGGGCCGGCATGGTGCCTGAGTGCAGGGGGCTGGTGTCGCGAGCACGGGCCTCGGTTTCTTCATTGACCCGAGCCACCTCCCGCTCGTTGCCGGGCTGGTACAGGTGGATGCCGCTGCTCTCGTCCTGCACGAGGTGCACGCTATGCTTCGGCGTTTCGTAGCTTGAGAGGGTCCGCGAAAGGGCCTCCATATCGGAACGCCGGTGGTGGGAAATCTGACCCATGGAAAGGGCGAGGGCGAGGGAAGGGGAGGCAGAAGCAAAAGAAGAGGTCGTCAATATGTGCGTGCGTGTGTGCGTGCGTGCGTGCGTGCGTGCGTGCGTGCGTGCGTGCGTGCGTGCGTGCGTGCGTGTGTCATGACCGACGACAGCTGGGCTGGATATGCGCGCTCCGCCACCCCCGGAAAAGGAACGAATGAAACACGGGCAAGAAGCCGAGAAGCCGAGAAGCCGAGAAGCACAAACAGGACGTACGGTCTTACGGTGGCGGCGGATGTGAGCCTGATGGGAGGAGGTAGTAACACCCGACTCCGGAGGGGGTCCCCCCGAGGAGGACGGGCCGCCAGCGCGCGGGGACAGCCCCGATGCCGAGCCAGCGGCAGCCATGTCGCCCCCCCCGGTCACCGGGGAGGGGCGCACATTCACCGAAGCCGTGCTGGTTATGGCACCCGGGGGGAGAGAACCCGACTCAGACCCGCCGGCACCGGCCGGGCGAAAACCCGCCGGATCGGTCGCCGACACGGCCACAGCAGATGCCGGGAGACCGGTCGAGGAAGAGCCAGCCGCACTGGCACCGGGTCCCCCAATGGCGGGCGCCTGTTGGCCCTGATTAAGGCCGAAAGGCGAGGCGCCGGAGAAAGCCAGTGCCGACGGGCAGGAGGGCCACCGCTGAAGGGGAGTCCCACTGGCCGAGCCCATGGCACCGCCGCCGCCGTGTCCACCGGCGGCGGCGGTAGTGGTGGTGGTGGTGGTGGTGGTGGTGGTCGTCGTCGTAGAGGCGGTTGCATGCACCGCTCCGCTGGCAGCCACCGTGGCAAAAGAGGGGGCCGCCCCGGGACCCGCGGAGGAGACCACCGAAGCCGACGCCACAGCCGCAGATCCGGAAGTGGCCACGGCCGACACCGTGACTGTCCCATCTTCCGCGGTGGCAGTGGGAGGGGGGGTGGCCGGGGAGGCCACGGTCACCTGCCCGGCCGGCTTCCGCTGCCCGGTTGCCGAGGCCACAACGACGCCAGGATCCTGGCTGCGCGCGTTGGCCGCGGCCACCAGGGCCGAGACCCGACCGGAGTCCGGGTCCGGCAGGGTGGGATCAGAGAAGCCGGCCGACTGGACAAAACCCGACGGCGTGGTGGCGGTGGCGGTGACAATGGTAGTGGTCCCAGAGTCGGACTTTTCAGCACCCGGTGGCGACCGCTGACTACCATGGCGCTTGAGCCCCTCCCCGCCCGGGGAGGATGGCGGCTGTGGTGGCGATGATTGCCGCGATGGCTGCGACTGCTGCTGCTCCTGCTGCTGAGTCACGGTGATGGTTGCCTGGCAGGCGGGGGCAGACGAAGCCGTGGCCGTGGCCGTGGCCGTGACAGTGGCAGCAGGAGCATGCTCAGATGCGGACCCCGGCTCGAGGGGACACATGCAGGGCGCCCCGTGATCGGCAACGGCGTGCTCCGCATCGTCATCCTCACCGGCATCTGCGTCACGCGAGGCACCGATGGGGCCGCCGCTTCCGCCGAGAGCCGCGATGGCTGCGGCATCGCCAGCACGCGCGGCCTCCTCCAAACCAACAGCCACCCAAAGGGCCAAGTTCTTTTCCATCAGCCCGACCGGAATGTAGAAGACATCAACCAGCTTGGCGATTTCCGAGTAGAAAGGCAGCGACACCTTGCCGATGAATTCCCGCTGGGTATCCCACAGGTCCATGGTTCCCGAACCATAGGGAATCATCGGCAGATTGCGCTCCTTCTCCAATTGTCCCTGCGAGACGAATTCGTCTCGCAGGACATACGACCAGGCCTTGGCGATCGGGAAGTCGCGACCGGTGTTGCTCAAATCCGACGCCTTGATGAGACTGGTCATCACCAAGTCCACATCTCCCTTGTTGATGGAGGACAGCGGCTCCATCCGGCCGCCGGAGTTCAGGCTCGACGATGACGGCGAATCCGCCCCCGAGGAGAGAGAAGACCCGGCATCTGGCTGGGCACCGGCGGCCGCGGCATCGCCAAGCTCGGCCGATCCACTGCTGGACAGGAGCGACCCATTGCTGGATAGGTCGGAGCTGCTGGAGTTCGATGAGCACGGCGGCAGGACAGGGGCCGTGCGGTTTCGACAGCTGCCGATGAACTCAAAGTGCATGGCCATATCCGTGGACAGGATGGCCGACCGGACATGGCGCTGGAAATAGTCCCAGTCGGCCGAGGTCAGCGACCCGAGGAAGAAGAGGTCCGCCCGCTCGAGTAGACAGAAGGTGAAGGTCGTATGTAGGTGCTCCAGGACGCTGGTGTTGTTGTAGAGCATGGACAGGGCATTGCGCGCATTGACCTGCGTGCCATCGGGAACGAGATGGGAGCCGTTGGGGGGAGGGGGGGGGGAGGAGGCGGAGAAGGAGGAGGAGGGCGAGCGGGAGAGTGAGACACAATGGGCCGGATAGAGCAACGCGCATGTGCAGATGACATCACAGGCAGAGCATACATGATAGAAGTTGTTGAGCCCCGGGTGGCACAAGTCGTGGCACAGCGAGGAGATGGCCAGCGTAAGGACATCCAATGGCCGGAGGATGGCCCGCTGCTGGGGGCTCATGTTCAGGACAAACCATTGAACCGACTGGAGGACATCCACCGCGTGGGCAAAGTTGTGATAGGGGTTGTCGCGGTAATTGGCCTGCACAGCCAGGACGAAGCGCTTGAAGCGGTCCATGTCGACTGAAAAGGTGCTGAGGAGGTCGAGGTTCTGGAAAATGTACAGAACACTCGTGAGGAGCTGGGTCTGGGTGAGGCTGCTCGGGAGAGGGGAGGAAGGGGGCCGGCGGGGGGGGGGGGGGGGGGGGGGGGAGGGATGCTTGTTTACTTGGCTCCGTGTGTGCGGG